CTTTGATTGTGTGGCCCAACATGCGATGGTAGGGGCAAAAGGTCGGATCATCCTTTTTATTTGCCTCTTCCGTCTTCTTGGCCTCCGGCAATCAAAAATCTAGCTTCTTTAGAAGGCTCTTAAAAATTTTCTTCACCGACTCCCTTTTAAATGGATAAGGATGAGCCAATCTCTCTTTAAAAGTAGTCCGGTGATATTCTCTAGTAGATTGAGAAGTTACCTGAAATGGTTGAGGTTTCTGTGTTTGTTGAACAGTAGGGTTACTTGATTGAACGTTGACCGGCTTCTTCCCCTTGTCGGCTGCTGAAACCGTTGTTGTCCTCTTTTCAAAGGACTTCAATGGTTTACTAACCTTCTTATCTTCAGTAGAATCCTTCAAGAATGACTTTTTGGAAGCCTCTTCTTGTAGATTACTAGATTTGTTAAGAAGCTCCTCAAAGGTTTTGATTGTAAACTCCTTTAACAGAAAAGCAATAGGCCCGTGGATATTCTTTAGAAGAATCTTCACTACATGTTGCTCTTGCAGTTGGGGTTCACATTTCATCGAGAGGTTCCGCCACCTCAAGATGTAGTCGACTAAGGACTCGTCCGGATTTTGTTTTTCGATGACGAGATCACCAACGGTTACACGTTGTTGAGCTCTTGAGAATCTCTTTAAAAAGAGACCCTCGAGCTCTGTGAAAGTTTTTACTGAACCGTTTGGTAGATCTGCGTACCACTCAAAAGTAATACCGGACAAACTACTCACAAACTGGCAAAAGAGTAGAGCATCCGACCCTCCTGCATTGCAACAGCTTGCTCGGAAATGGGCCAGATGTTGTCTTGGGTTTTCTAAGCCGCTAAAAACTTTGAAAGAAGGTGGCACAAAACCCTTTGGGTAAGGAACCAAATCATATTTCTCGGGTTAGGGTCTACCCTTTGGAATAGATACAGTTCCTTGTGAATGGGGTAAGGCCTCCCTTACCTGGATTTCAATCATCTGACGGATATCTTTTTCTGGTGGGGAAGTGACTTCTGGAAGCTTGAAACTAGAATCAGCCTTCCTGCTGTGCTCGCCCATTGTGAGTACTGTGGGCTACAACTGCTCGGGTCTAGACTGCTGTGCCTGGAGCATCTAACTCTGCATTTGTTCTACCTTTAGCATCATCTCTTCGACCTTTCTTTCCAGACTTTTGATGTAATCATCTTTCTCTCTCAGTTTGACAGAGGTATCGGAATCTGAGTCGACTGCTGCTGACTCTTCTTCTTTATCAGAGCGATTTTTAGAAGGCTCAGCATCTTTAGTTGATGCACGAGTTTCAACCATGTGGACATCCGCTACCGGCTCTTCCTCAACTAACAAGTCATCTTCATCCGAATTGAATTCATTAACAGCCGTCTTCTTAAGGATATCTCTGATTTCTTGTACCACTTCCTCTACTGACCTCCCATCTATTGCTTCAGTATAAATGGGTAAATATCCATCATAATCCATCACTTGATCATACTCTTTCACATCTAACTTATCAAAGATGTTGCTAATCTTAACATCTTCTTCAGTAATTTCTTCACTAACCAATTTATCTAACATCTCTTGATCAGGATCTTGGGTCATCTCCTCCCCTCCGACTATCCCGAGGTCGGTAGTCGCAAGGGTGACATCCTCAATAGGGTGAGGGACGTCTATCTTAATTGGTGATGGAGGGGCTTGAACAGCAGGGGCTCCAACATCAACACGAATAGAGTCCTCATATCCCTGAACTGGGAGTCTAGGGAGTTCGAACAATATTTGAATTTGAGGTTCTCTGAATTGTATTCCAATAGATCTATTAAACTTTCTTCGTGCACATGATTCTTCTGGCGACATGGGCCTCTTGCCCTTAACATCAACTGGTTTCGGCTTTTCAAAAACTTCTTTAGACTTTGCTATCACTGGGGCCAGCTTTGACAGTTTTGAAGGTGGGGTCGGTGGTCTACCACTAAAAGGGCGACTCTGGCCAGATCCAGTTAATACTATCTCCTCCATCTTTGCAGACGGGAGGCGAGGCACCCAATGGTATCCATCGACCAAGACTGAAGATACAGGTTGTTTGAAAAATTTCTTGTTCTTCCTCACTAGTTGAGGAGTTAGGTTCTTGGCTTCAAATTTTTCTTCTTTTAAAACCTCCTTTTCAAGCTTATGTGAAATTACTCCTTTCAAATGTTTCACATATTGTTCCTTAGTCTGCCCTACTTGAGCAGCACAAGTATGGATGATATTTCTAAGCATCCTAGCTTTCAAAACTTGCTTCTCCTTCGGGGTTCTCTTAACATAATAGTCTACTGGGATAGGCGGAGTGCTAGCTATCCGAGTGACTCTCTCCTCCCCTGCAGCAGTTGCGAGGGGGTGAAAATGACTCCCTTTAAGGAGTGGAGAAGAGGTACGGATTGGCAGCTCCTCAGCAGCCTCAAGATTGACAATACCCAAGGCCTTCAGCTCGGCCACCTTCTTAGTCTT